ATCGGCTAAATAATGTGACATAAGGTCTTCATATATATTTTGAGGAAGTATTTTCTTGTATGGTCGAACTTTATGATAAAAATCTTTGGATGAAATTTCGAAAAGTCGGATAAGTGGAATAAACTGTTCAACTGATTTCTTCAAGGAAATAAAATGTTTTTCTGTCCATTTAGTAACATCATTAGGCATCTTTGTATCATTTGTATTGATGTTTTGTGCAATTCCCCATTTAATTAGGTGTTCCCAAACTTCTATTTCATCAATTTCTAAATCTTCTCGTTCTAGAAGTCCATAAAGAATGTCTCTATCCAAAGTTGAAAAATTCTTGGATGAAAAAAATGGATGTGGATCTTGACAAATAGATTTTAAACAATGATCTTGAAGTTTTTTACAACTTTCAAGTTTAATCACCGTTTGTAATACTTGAACAAAATTTAACCTTAACCAATTGGCTTTTTCTTCGATTAAATGTTCTTGACAGTGAACAATTAATTCATCAAGGAGCAACTCGTCAGATGCAACCAAAAGACCAAGAATATCCGATCCAGATTGTTTATCCAAGTCAAGAATCCCTGCATAAATATATCTATTTTAATATTGGTTTTAAAATTTTAGATTCTCTTAATTAATACTATTCTTTTTTTTTTTTTTTTTTTTTTTGATTCTTTTTTTGTTTTTTTTTTTTAATTATTTTATTTTATTTTTGTATTTTGTTTTTTAATTCTAATTTTGTCTAACATTTCTAATTATAATATTATACATATGTATAATTTTAATGCTAATTTAGAAAAAACACATACTTGAGCATCATTGCAAACACCATTGGCGAGACATTAGGTTTATTAAAGATAATATTATTATCTTTTTTTATAACCCAATCACTTGAAAGTGCTCTCTTGAAATATGGTGACCTTGCCATCAAAATATTCGAATGGGCTCGAAACTCTTTAACATTTGAACCTTCTCCAACTTGAATAGTAACATTATAATCGTTTGCATTATCAAGAAGTTGTGAAAGATCTTGCGATAAATTTGAAAAAAATTGGGATGGCATAATCGAATTCGTTTTCCTTTTTTTTTTAATGAATTGAATGAATCGTCTAAATTTTTTAAGAGGAACAATATTTATGCAAACATTGCGTGGGTATTTCTATTTATATATAAGCATGATAGATTAATTGTCATGTGAACTGTCACATGATTCAGCATTCTTGATTTCTTACGAGTGGATAGATTGGCCTGCATTAATGGGATGTACGCCTGCAGATTTTCTAACTTTTAATTCCAGCCGAACATTAAAGATTTAACATTTTTATTCACTGATAAAGGAAATATTAATTGGTCTTTATGATTGATACGTAAAATCATCTCGTGTGCATTGTTTCTAACGTACGTATTCAATAATGATACAATTCGATTTCTAGAATTGTCATTTTTTTAATTATCAAAATAAATTTCGGTTACTGTACGGATATACAATGCGTGCGTTAAACGTTGCCGGAAATTAAACCTTATTAAGAAAACACTTAAAATTTTGAATAAGCAATTTCGATAAGTATTTGTTACGTAAAATTCGTATTAATATCAAAAATTCTAATTGATTATTTAATTTTACTATTGTATAGATATTCTAAATTTAAATTCCTAGATTTCCTAGTGAAAAATGTGCACTTATAGATATGTACACTTCCGGAGGGAAAACAGATCTAAGTCCGAATTTTAATAAATTATTCTAAATTTTCGAATCGTTTTTTATCGTATTGATCAAGTGATTTACATTTATGGAGGGAAAGCCACGACAAAATGTGCATTTATAGATATGTACACTTCCGGAGGGAAAAACAGATCTAAGTCCGAATTTAATCATTTTTTATTGATCAAATGATGTATACTTATGGAGGGAAAGTCACGACAAAATGTACTTATAAAGGGTACATTCACGGAGGTTTACTGTATTTCTGAAGAACCATTTTAATAATCACTGGAGTAAAACTTACCGAATATGTTGTTTCTCAAAAACAATTTTAGTAATTGGTATTGTGTAATAAGTAAAAATGGTTAGCACTCTAAAAATTTTAAAATTTAATGCTAACTTTAAAATTTTCTACAAAGAAAATTACGTATTGTGCACAAGTATTAATTTGCAAGGTTCTATTCTAAAATCCTGACAGCCAAAATCCTGATAACCCATAATCCCAAATACATAATCTTGACATAGACCGAATTCTGACAAGTCAAAATCTTGACAAGCACAATTCTAAAAACAAAATCTTGACAAGCAAAATTCTGGCAAACAAAATCTTGAAAAACAAAATCTTGCCAGACAAAAACCCGACAAACAAAACTCTGAGACAAAATCCTGACAAAAAAAATCCCAACAAAACCCGACGGACAAAAATCTCGATAGACAAATTCTGATAAACAAAATTTTGACAAAATCCCAATAGACAAAATTTTGGCATGTCAAAATTTTGATATTTCAAAATTCTGACATGTCAAACATTAGCATTTCTTATAATAAGTCAGGTTTGTGGGATGAAAAATATAGTTGCAATCTAATGTTATTTGGGCCAACTAATATTATTTGGCAACTATATTTTTATTTCACAATTTGATATGTTAGAATTTGATTTATTAAAACTTTGACATATTGGAATTTTGTTTATTAGGATTTTATTTGTTAAAATTTTATTTGCCAAAATTTTGTATATCAGAATTTTGTTCGTTAAAATTTTGTCTATCAGAATTTTGTTTGTTAAAATTTTGTCTTAGAATTTTGTTTGTCAAGATTTTGTTTATTAGGATTTTGTTGTCAAAATTTTGTTTATTAGGATTTTGTTTGTCAAAATTTTATTTATTAGAGTTTTGTTTGTCAAGATTTTGATTTGTTAAAATTTTGTTTGTATTAAAATTATCTATTTGAAATTATAAACTATTAGAATTTTAGTTATTAGTATTTTAAAGTAAAACTAATTTGCAAATCTATAAAATAATTTTTATAAAAAAACCAATATTTAAATCAAGTAAATTTTTTAATATTACAAAAAAAGTATATTAAAATTTGTATAAAATAAAATAAAATTAATATAAAAAATAAAATAATAAAGGGTTGTTTATATTTTTATTAGTAATTTTTAATTAATTATATTAAAATACAACTATAGAGAAAGTTGACTATACTATATAATATGAAGATCATTATTAAAACAAATAAACAAAAATTAAAAAAACAAATTAAAATTTAGCATATATTAGATTAGAGCTATAGATAGTATTTTTAATTGATAAAAATTTTGCAAATTGATTACTGTAAATAGCCAAATACAAAACCCTTTTAATAGTAGATCTATTATATACTATATCCAAATACAAATCATAAAACCTTAATATAGTTTTTTTATAAATTTAGATTGCTTGTTATAAATGCAAAGTGTATATCATTTCAAAATTTTAAACTATATAACAATAAACTTTTGATTATATACTATACCTAGATCTATTAAGAGGTTTTAAAATATAACAGACTAGGTTTTGTATCTGGTTATTTACAATAGTTGCTAACTATAGTTGATTTTTCATATTATATAACTAAATTTGTTAATTAGCTAATTAAACTAAAGAAAAATTAAATTAATTGGTTGTTTTAAATTTTTCTAAATTGATTAGTTAGAAAGTTGTTAATTTAATTAATTTTTAATTAAACAATTCAGATTACTAGTTATAAATAAAATTAAAAATATAGTAATAGTTAATATATACCAAAATTATACAAAAATTTTTCATTAAAATACAAAAAGTAGTTTAATAAACAAAATTTTAAGTTATTAAAATTTTTTAAAAAACAATAAAGATTGTTTTGATTTTTATATTATATCTAATTTTGATATTATATTGCAAATCATTATACTAGCCAAAAAGGTGAAATTTGACTACAAATTAGCCAAAAATTGGCCAAAAATCGACCACAAATCAGTAGTCGATTAGCAAATTTTGGTTAAATTCAGGTTGAATTAGTAAAAATAATTGATCTAGATTTGACTCAAAAAAACACCAAGTTAAAAAATTTAGATAGCTAATTGTAGGCTGATTATTTAAATTGGTAGCTGATTATAGGTTGAATGCTTAATTTTAACATTCGATCTAAAATCAGATATCGAATTTGGGCTAAATATTTATAATATTTAGCCAAAATTCAGTATCTGATTTTAGGTCAAATATTAAAATTAAGCATTTGACCTATAATTAGCTACCAATTTAAACAATCAGTCTACAATTAGTTATCAATTTAATTGACGATTCTTTAGTGAACTGAAGAATGTTTATAGTGAAACGTGATATAGTTTTATATGTAAATTACTATAGCCGCAAAAGTAAAAATTTTCTAGTAATTATCCAAGAAAAACTTTTTTTGTATTAAGTTAATTATCTTTAAGTCTCTAAAAAAAGTTGTAGAGCTTATCGAGATGAATCTAATGGTAGTTAGATCATCAAAATCGGTCTAGTAGATACCAAGAAATCTTTAAAAAATATTTTACTAACTATATAAAAATTCTTTGAATTGTTTTTAATTAGTGATTCGCTAGTCAACCAGTGAAGGGTCATAGTGTAATATAACATGGTTTACATATAGAAATTAGAGTTTTGCAAATATGGGCTGCATCATTCTAAAACCTTTTTCATACTAAGTTAACCATCTTTGGGCTTTTAATTGAAGTTGTAGAGCTCGTTAAGAGGAATCTAATAGTAGTTGAATCGTCAAAATTGGCCTTGTAGATTATGAGATATCTTTAAAAAACATTTTGCTGACTGTTTTTCAAAAATATCTCATGATCCACAAGGCCAATTTTAACGATTCAACCACTATTAGATTTCTCTCAATGAGCTTTACAACTTCAATTAGAAGTCCAAAGATAGTTAACTTAGTATGAAAAAAGTTTTAAAATGATGCAGCCCACATTCGCAAAACCCTAATTTTATATATAAACTGCATCACGTTACACTATGACTTCTCACTAGTTGACTGGCAAATCACTAATTAAAGAATTTTATATAGTTAGCAAAATATTTTTCAAAGATATCTTAGTATCCACTAGGCCGATTTAAATGATCTAACTACTATTAGATTTATCTCGATAAGCTCTACAACTTTATTTAGAGACTCAAAGATAATTAACTTAGTACAAAAAAAA